TTTTCTAAAACTAAATTATAAAAATACTTAAACTATTATTAAGAACTAAATTAAGTCATAAAAGCGCAAATTAACTCCCAATATCAATTAACGCACAATTAAATAATAATTAAGCATAAAATTGTATATTTGAACATTAAATGCTAAAAATGCAAACGATGCCTATTTTCGTAATAATTTTTTTTTAAAATTTTTGTAAAACATATCTAATTATTAACAATTGTGGAATTAAATCCTATATGCAAAATGCGACATATTTTTGTATTTTATTAATTTAGCAAATAAACACGCACAGACAAATACAAATAATTATTCAAAATATCACAAAATTGCACACCAAAGAAAAAATCATTTTATTTTTTTTATTTTTATTTTTGGGAGTAATTCTCATATAGGGCAAAAATCACGTGCTTACAGTGACAAGTGGCAACTTTTGGTTTTGAAGAAACCATTTCAGTTTCGAAGAAGTATGAAACATTATGAACCAATAATTCTCTTTATTTTATTGGCTAGAAACATAATTTCACTCTTCGCTGTAGAAATGAATCGAAGAGGCACTTTTTGACCGTACATTGGTGTAGCAAAGTAAGGATTATATATTCTGACAAGAACATTATTTGGTAGAACCGTTGGTTCACTTATATGAATAAGGTCCTCTTCGTCGAATTTGATGCTTGTTGACTCACATGACTTACCATTAAATTGAACTTCCTCCCTACACCTATGTTATTACAGTGACGAAGATATTTGTTCATTTCAGTTAACTCATGAATGGAATCGCCGTATATCATGGAGTTAATTGTTCAAGTATCTTTTCTTTTCCAGTGGGAATTTGATTGGCCTTCTCCACAATTTCTTGCACAGAAAGGTGGTGATTCTATATAGAGGTTCTGAAATTTTCATAAGTGTTATTGAATATTTAGATGATTGTATAAACCTATACAAAAGCGATATATTGACCAAGGAAGTTGGAGAATCTGATTTCTACTAAAAAGAAAGTTCAAATAGGAATAGGACGCAAAGCTCTTATGTACCTCTATATGATGGCTTCAGAGTTAGCTTACGAAAATGAAAAGATTCCACATCTCAACATATGGATTACTGTACTAGAATATTGGATAGTCAAAGAGATGACATCAAAAAATTTAAAGTGAACAAGAAGAATGCGGCAAAATTGGGTTCTATTTCTTCTCTTTTTTACATATTTTTAATCATCCTCCATTTTTTGTAATTATGAAGAAAAGAAGCACATGTTAGGATAGTAGATATCTCATATATGCTGTCGTCGATCTACTGAATGATGTATTGTCATCGATCGCATACTCATTCTAAAGGTATAAACATAAAGTTGTGTGGTCATGGTATTGTGTGATATTGTCAGTGCTTTAAAATACTTATGACAATTCCAATGGCTAGAATTATGTTGTTGGCCTGGCTTGAAAATTAAATGAAGTTGGTCTTATTAACAGAGATCAAATATGGTGGCAATCTCTATCTCATGAAATGTTTTCGCAAAAATGGGGAATATAATCTAAATAATTTTCTCAATAATTTATTTCATAGCATGCAAAAGTATAATAGCACTATTCAATAAAAAGAAGAAGAAAATGGTTACAACTTCTCATAACTTGTCAGAGAGATGATTTATGTTGCAAATCCAATGTGCGCTGATCTTGAGATTCATGCTAAATATAAGGATGACATTTTAGTATGCTTATCTCGCAGCCTAATAAAAAAAATCAAAAAGCTATCATAACTATGTTAAAAAGATTATGGTTATTTCAAATTGATGGATGATAAATATTTTTTTTGGAAGAATCATATCTGTACTTGAAACTTGATTTATTATTTTGGGATCATGAGATTAAACAATATTTATACTTTTAAATTATTCTAAAATTGATGACCTTTTCTGAATTTGGTGCCTCTTGAGAGAGAAGCACAATAGCTCCTTTTGTCCCAATTTATGCGATACACATTTTATACATAGAAATAATATTACTTCAAACAATTTATTTTACCCTTAATTAAATAATTTATAGCCACACAGATATTTATGGTTTATTTAAACCACAAGTTTTAAAAAAAAATCTTTCCTTTTGAAACTCCATGCTCAGTTAAAGTGCATCACATATATTATGAAGGAAAGAATCATATTTGGCATTACTTGAATTTAATGTTTATGTGTAAGATTCATATTATAGGTTAAAGATGAGCCACCATATTCGTCTTGCCAATGCTACAAGAGAGTAAATATTAATAACTCACTTTTCTTGTCAAGATTGATAGGAAAAGCGAGAACATAAAAGAGTTTAATTATTCAAGATATACATGAACTTGAAGATATTGATGCGACGTAATTGAGGAATCAAGTAAATCAGTCATAGTATTATTGAAGAGGACGAACAATTACCATACGACGATCCACACTTATCCTTGCATAAACTCATACTTTATTTTTTCATGCATATTATTAACGCAAGTTTTAATTATAATGGCATTATTTTATATAATCATTGTTACTTCTCTGTATTCAAAACCAGAAAACTAGAAAACGTTCGTTTAAGAAAACAAAACAGAAAAAATTCCGAGCCCACAATTTTCTTGTGTGTCCTTAAGGAATTTAATCCCCTCACAGTTGCCCAAGATTTCAGATTAATTCCTCCCAAGATAGAACGAGATAACCATTCAGATTTTCGGTGGTGAAAAATAAGGGTGAGCCTCTCTATTTATAGCCAACAGAGTTGAGTTCCAACAGGTGTAAAGGTGCCTGTTCGGTTGAAGAAGTATCTATTCGACAAAATTTCTGTTAAACAGAATGGTTGGCCGCGAATATGACCGTTGGAAGTGCCACTAGTTTAATAATTTTCCCCGCAAAAATATTAGTAAAGGAAATATTAAATGATGAAAATGAAAACTAAATTTGGTCCAAAAAAATATCAATCAAATCAATTGACCAAATCCGAAGCCGAGCGAACGACGACAGCGCGAGACTTGCTCTCTTCTCAACTCTTTAAGAGCTAGAAGTGCTTCTATATATAAGCACAAGAATTTTCCTCTTCCTATCCAATGAGGCCGGGGCGGCTCAACATTATTGATAGCCTAAAGCAAAATTTTGATAAAAGGACTTATTTTTAAATATATATATATATATATATATATATATATATATATATATATATATATATATATATANTCGAGTTATTCTAATAATTTTTCTCAACTGAGAATATGCTAATCTGATCCATTTAGCTTGTTGTAAAACATTGTTGATCTTATACAAGATTTTATCAATTTTTAATTTAGAAAAACTTCTTTCCTTGGATGAACTGGTATAGTAATATATTTCATAAGGACTATAGGAATTTGGAAGCAAAATAAAGCCTTATTATCTTATTGAGTATATGAATTAGAGCCTTATCTTCTACCGTTAATATTTCTTTTAACACTATATAATTTGGAAAATAAGTTTAAACTATCATGTCATAGTGACCATTATATATTAATCTATGTTAAGTCAATATTTTTTTAAAATTTTATCATCTAGTAATCTTAATTTTTACCCACTAAATAAAAAATGAAAGATATTTTTACACGAATCGGGTTATTCAAATCTCAATTGTCAACATTAGTAACAATTTAAAATTTTCTTTTCGTTTGTTGTATTAAAAATTATACTTTTTAACCTTAAGATAATTAATTTTTTTATATATATTATAACCAATGGAAAATGGGGCTCGGGGGCCTAAAGCCACTTCTTAGGCTGCCTTACCCTTTAGCCGTCGTTGCAACGAGGATAAAGTTCCTTTGTAAAAGGGACTAATTCAAAATTTCATTTCCCTCTGTTTCTTTTCCCACCATTTTCTATTCACACCTCTTTTGTTTTAATTAACAAAACCAAATAATTATATACTACATGATTTGGCATACACGTGCAATGCACGTGAAGCGAAACTAGTTAAACCAAAAAAGAATATACTAAATGATCAAATGATCGGTAGTTATCACAAAAATAAAGCAACTTAAAAGTTCAAATTTGCTGTTATTCATTTACTTTTGGTAAGTTCTGGCAGATATTTAACGACATTTTGGACAATTGTATGGGAAATTAAGACATGATCTTGGCTCTCAAAGAGAAGAAACTTAACTCCAAGACTCCAAGAGTGCCTTTAGCTGCACAAACGTCCCAATTTTGGGCTCATAATTATTTTGATCTGGAAAGTGATTCTTGGAAATGCAAACAATGGAAATAAAAAGGAAACTCCCATTTATATATGTGTCTGTAATCATGATTATTCTAGTATTTGTTTATCCAGTTTATGCTTCCACAAGAATACCGCTAGAGTTATGCAGAACATGTATTTTCATTATGGAATATTTTGCCCAGAAGGGATGATCGCAGGTCCATTGTAATTTACACAGAGGTATTATCATTCAACAACCAACGGCGGATCCAACAATCGATTTATGGGTTCATTAACCCAGTACTTCGCAATCGAACTCTGTATGCAGGGGCGGATTTAGGAGGGCGCAAGGGGGTTCACCCGAACCCCCTTCGACGAAAGAATACGCTGTATATATAAGGCAAAATCTGTTTTTTACCTCTATATATTAAGTTTTGAACCCCCTTAACACAATCCAAAAGTGTAGTTTAGTGGTCAAGGGGGTTCAAAATCTACATAAGATCATGAGTTCAATTCCCACTAAATATATTTTTTTTTTTTGAACCCCCTTCGTAAAGATCCTGCCTCCGCCACTGTCTGTATGTATGTGTTAAAATCAAGTTTAGATAGAGCTAAATATACGTTTGTGAACCCATAACATCTAAATTCTGAATCCGCCGGTGTCCACGGTACCCATGTACTAAAGAAGTGATTGGCCTTCTGTTGGTTCCTTGAGTCTACATTCTACGATTATAAAGAGTTCCACTGCCGATATTTCAGTCACAAGTATAGTCAGCTGCTGGATTTGAAATACTCTGCAAAGAAGGACGCCATGATTTGGACCTTGCAGCAGCAGAGTGTCACATCCCAGGCCTTTGCTTCTGTCTTTCATGTTCTAAAGCCTGTAAATGATCAAATTTGAGTAAATAGTGAGCCCACAATTCTTGTAAATAAATAATATCATCAACTATGCTATCCATTTTGAAATTCGGATACAACATAATGCACGAGAGACCCACTCTTTAATTCAATATTTGAGGACTTGAGAAATTTTCTTTGTTTATCTTTTTCCCTGATAACACTATTTGGTACATAGAGAATTTTAGAAAAGAAATATAGAAGTGAATTGGTTCAAAAAAGTTACCTCACTATCCTTGTCTGGTTCAGAATTTCCAGCTTCAAGCTCACAACTTGACCTCTGATTCTCTGAATTTTCCTTCAATTCTTGCTGCTTCTTCCTCATCTTTCCATGTTTCTTAGCTCTTAGTACCTTCATCACCTCTATAACCATGACAAGAACAACATATAATCACATGAAGCAAGAAAAACTAACCGATGAACCCCAAATTAGATGAAAGAATTATGAAGTGAAAGAAAGAAGTACCTTGAGTTGTAACAAGTCGATATACTCTACCAAGAACTAAAGTATCAGTTGGCCGAAGAAGTTTAACTCTGGTAAAAGGTACAGTTTTATCCTGACCAGAGGCAGAGTTAGGGAGTGGAATAACGAGAGTAACATAATGACCAGGATTCATTTTCATCACCTCATTAGCACTCACTGGCCAATCCGTCCTCTCTATTTTTCCACTTGGGTGTTGTATTACTAGTGCAGCTGCATCTATTGCTTGACAATTTCCCATCTATTTGATCTTTGTCTCTAAAACAGAATGATGAGAAGAATAAAAGATTAGGGTGGAATTACAAGGAAGGATGTGAAACATCTAAGAGTCTCTTTCCAAGCAGTCCCACTATATGGTAGTATAGGTCTCAGTCAAGCTAGCGAAGCAGTCCTTCCATTCCTAACAATTTTATATTATGCTACAAATAATATAAAAAGAACATTTTTTTATGCATTATCGAGTAGCAAGTAGCTCTATATAAACATATTTGGTGGTGTAATTTCGACTCAAAACATTGATAGTGTATTTTTACTATCTACTTAACTTGACAATAATGTGGAAAATTGTGCACTGTAACTGCACGTCTGCACATAACATAAACTCTTCGAAAAGTTGGATTATGAAAAACATTGTGCCTAGTTGAATCTGGATTTGGGAAGAAGACGAATAGCCGAATAAAAAAAGTTACTGATAATTAACTAATGGTACATCTTTTTTGTTTTGTTTTTGCTGATAGAAATACATCTTCAACTGACTTTATTTGTTAATAAAACGCAATTTTCAAAAATTGAAAAAGAGAAAACGGTGTAATGAAAACGGTCTGAACGTAGTAGATATTGGTCACTTTCGTGTAATTATTTAGCTCGTACTTGCAAGTAAACACATGTCAGGTGACGTAGTTTGCACCTCATTGAACTTAAATTGCATTATATTTTAAGGCATAAAATAATGCTGTAGTTTTAATCCCTTTTGCAGGACTAGCAAAATTAATAAATACACTGAAACAAATGTCATCACCAACGGGGTTGCCGGCAGGTTTCCAAAAATGCTGGTGGGATTGCCACGTGGTTCAATGCTGAGATTTTGGACGGGCATTCTCCGCTGGACGGCCATTCTCATCTGGGCTGATGGGGTCAAAATTGAACTTTTAAGGCGAGGTCAGTAGTAGTAATAGTAATAATAATAATAATAATAATAATAATAATAATAATAATAATAATAATGTGTATAAAAATAGCTGCATGAGGACTGAGAACTCTCTTGGCGCACGTTAAGCTTAACATACGCCATCCATTGGGAGGAGAGCGAAGACCGGCATCCCTGTCCAAATTCCAATCCAGAAAGCAACGGGCAAGCAGGTTAGCCAAGATGCACAAACAGGAATCCAACAAAAAATGCAAAATCCGGCAAAAATAGATAAAACAATAACTGAGGAAGTTAGAGTTCTGCAAATTCAAAGCCATCAAAAGTTAACGAAACCACGGCAAAGGAGAAGGTAAATACACCATTGAAGGAGAGAGTAAGTGAATGAAATTGTGCTGTCAAAAGCCAGGGAAGTGGGAGCAAACTATTCTGGGCAGATGAAGTCGAGGAAAATGGTAAGCAAGCACATGCAGAATCAATCTGGGATAATTTGACATTTCAAAAATATCAAATGCAAGATTTAAGCTTGGATTTGTAAGTCCTGAAAAGGATGGAGATCGTATGATATGGAGATAGAACTGGAGGATATAGAGTGTGAAATCACGTATTGGAGGAATACTGTAGTTTGCTATGTGTTGATGGTTTATCCTCCGTTTAATGTGTTGAATGGCTACTTGCAGAGGATACGAGGAAACATGGGATTAGCAAAATAGCAATGCTTAAAAATGGCATCGTGATGGTGAGGTTTGATACCGAGGTGGGGAAGAATGAAGTCATTCAAGAGGGTATATTTCATTTTGATAACAAACCGCTTATTGTCAAAGCTTGGACTCTAGATATGGAGTTCTAAAAAGCAGAATTGTCCACTGTTCCAATATGGATAGACTCCCAGGGCTGGATTTTAAATACTAGAGTGCCAAAGGATTGAGTAAGATAGGACGTTTAATAGGAAAGCCTTTAATGTTAGACAAAAATACCGAGAAGAAAGTAGGACTGCAATTTGCTAGAGTGCTTGTGGAAGTGAAGGTAGAGGATCAATTTCCTGAGGTAATCTACTTCAGGAATGAAAAAGGGGAGATCATTGAGTAATGCGTGACCTATGATTGGAAACCAACTATGTGTGAGATGTATCAAAAATATGGGCATACTGGAGATAGATGTTGGAGGAATAAGGAAAGCAAAAATGAGGTAGGAGAAGCTACGAAGGGAGATGGGAAGTTTATGCTTATTCCAGTAGAGCCTAGTACTACTATTCAGATGGAGGGTACAGTTAGGGAGGCCAATGAACGTTATCAAAGACCAAATCCTGTTAAACATGTGCAGGAGATGGGAAGGAACAGAAGACATCAAGTTAGGGGATGGACACAACTATTGAAGATGAAATCAAAACTGTAATAACAACAAAGAACTCTTTCTTCCCACTTGGGAAGGAGGAAGGTGAAAAGAATTTAGGAAGTGCAAGAAATGAGGGTGGACCATCTTCTCTCCCAGTATGGGATGATTAACATACTCACCTGGAATGTAAGAGGCTTAAATGGTGTAACGAACTAGCTAGTCATTTTGAGCATTTGCATTTCATTCAGCTATTTGAAATCTTGTGTAGCATAGTATGATGTATTATGACATGTGTTAATTGTCGATTTTGATTTTCAGGTTATTCGGAATTGATTTGGAGGAATGATTCTCAACTAGGAACCTTTAAGTTGGAAGAGTTGACCAAGTTTGATTTCTTAGTACTTGACATCGGGTCGGAGTTTTGATGGTTATGTCTGGATGGTGATTTTGGATTTGGACGTATGCCCCAATTTGCATTTTGATATTTCTAGAAGGTATCAACACTATTTGGTGAAAGTTGAAAATTTGAAGGTTTGGAATGTTCATAAATTTGACGGGGAGCTGAATTTTATGGCATCGGGTTCGAATTGTGGTTCCAGGGATTTGAATAGCTTTGTTATGTCATTTCGGAGTTGTGTACAAAATTTGAGTTTATTCCGGGTTGATTTGATAAGGTTCGGCACGAATTTTGAAAGTTGAAAGAGTCAAAGTTCATTAAGTTCGATTGGAGGTTCAATTTGTGGCGTTGATGTTGTTATATGTGATTTGAGGTCTCTAGTAAGCCCGTGTTATGTTATGGGACTTGTTGGTATGTTCGGACGAGGTTCCGAGGGGCTCGGGTAAGTTTCGGATAGGTTTGAGTTGTGTTGCGCTCGTTTTTTGTTATTTCAACTTCGTTTTCTTCAAACATAAATGGTATCACATTAAGAAAATGAGCTCCAATTTCTGTTGATCGAAGCATTAGATCCGCATCATAATTTTGGAACCATAGCAACTGGAATCATCAAGTTTCGACATCGTTTGAGAAATTTATGGTCAGTTTACTAAGAATTGGATTGCTATATTTTTTTCAGAATAATTACGAAATTGAGTGAGTTCATATTTAAAAATCTGCACTATTTTTAAATGTTGAAACTAACATATCTCCTTCATTATAAGGTCAAATGGAGTGATTCAAAAGCGTAACTTGGCTGAAATTTTACAAGGAATCCATTTTAGGTATCAAAAGTGTGTTTCGGGATCATTTGGCATACGAAACAAGGTAGAACATCTGGGTAAAAATATTTAATATTGAGAGTTTGTTCATTTGGTCATATTTTGAGTTGGAGAGCTTGGATTTGGGCAATTGTTGAGGCAAGTTTTACCATATAGATTGGGGTAAGTATTCTCTACTCGGTTTTTGTTATATTTTGTGAACCTATCTTCGTTTCTGGTAATTAGATTTTGAATTTTAAAGAGAAAATTGGGGGGTTTTGTCCAAAGTTTTATAGAGTAATTTCTTGAGTTTTGAACATCGATTTGGAGTCGTATTTTGGTGAAACTAGTTTTGTTGGACTCGTAATTAAATGAGCTATAAGATTTTATGAGTTTCGTTGGGTTTCGAGGTACGAGCCCGGGTTTGAATTTTTAATTTTGGGGTTTTGATTTAAGATTCGACCATTATCATTTGGAATTGTTTCATTAGGCAATATTTGAGATTCTCGGGTTGCTTTTGGCTAGTTTCGAGCCGTTCGGAGGTCGGCACATGCGGGATGACATTTTTGGAGTATCGTTTGGCTTGCTCGGTATGGGATTTGGCTTGCTTGGTATGGAATTTGGCTTGTTCGAGGTAATTAACACTTCTAAACTTGGTGCTGAGGGTATGAAATCCCGAATTATGTATTATGTGATTAATGTTGAGGTGATGCATATGCTAGGTTTCAGGCGTGTGGGTTTGCACCCTGTGAATCGTGATTTAGTCGAGCATGGATTATATATCTATCTTATCTGTACATTTTTACTGTACTCTATGCGTTAGAGCACTTGAGCTATAATTTATGCTAGAAATCATGTTTAGGATATATGCTTGTACTATTGGGGCCCATAGTGGTCATTCTTTGCAGTTGAAATATTTGCTTAATTGTAGTTATATACATAGTCATATTCATCATTAGATATCATATCTAAGTCTTTGTTATCGTATATTGTCACATCTCGTATCATTGGTTAGGGCTAATTACCATGAGTGTTGTGAGCCTGAGAGACTGGAGAGATTGATGATTGAGTGAGTCTGTGGCCTGTTATGAGTGATATTTAAGGGATTGGGCTGCACGCCGTAGCAAGCTTTATTGATTCATGCCAGGATTTGGAGTATTTTAGCACTTGGGTTGGATCTTCCCTTCCGGAGTCTGCACATCCACAGTGGGCGTAGTTGCTATTTATTTTTGGGCTGGATCTGCCCTGGATTCATTTACATTGGGCTGGATATTCTCTGTACAGTACTGAGTGACTGAGAGTGCCGAGTATTTAGCATGACGACTGAGAATACGAGACACTGAGATTGAGTACTTTGAGAGTGTGAGTACATGAGTTCATAATTGAGATACATTGCATGTGACATGCGTACTTGAGATACAGACATCGAGATACATTTCCTCATGCTTCCCGATTTTGGTGACATTCATGATTTCACTTGCATATTGACATGTAGGTATGAAGATGTACTTTCCTCATGTTATCTGAAAATGAAACACCTTGATTATTGTTGAAAGAATTTTGGGGAAAAATTACAGTTTCAAACTTACTCATATCTCTGGTGATTTGGTAAAAAGAATAAAGTTTTACTAACATCTTTGAAAAACATACCTATTTTCCCGTAACTGTGAACAAGTTGAGCATTGTACCTCTGATTATTTCTTGTACCATTTTAATTATGTT